GTTACCAACCCACACAGCAGGCCATTACTTCAAGTCCATTTTTAAGTCCCAAGGTTGGCAGAGCATGGCAGGCTGAACAATGACACAGCTACTTGCAGGGTCCAAGTGTGCAATAAGCTAGAGCCCATTCCCCAAGGCTTCTGCTTATATACAGGAAGCAGACCACATCCCTAAGGCAGCTACTCAGCTGCTCCCAGAAGATTCCACCATGGAGCTGATTACCAGTCTCATCATGGGGAATACTACATCCAGCTGCCCAGCCACTCAACCACGCCCAGCCAAGTTGACACACAAACTGAACTACCACATCCCTCTTGCGCCCCTTCTAAAAACCCTGCTGTGATAGTTGGAGCTGTGTGTTAACTTGGCTGGACCCCAGTTCTGTGTGGTTGTTCCCATGATGGGATCGGATGACTATGTTCTGAGTGGCCAATCTGTTGAAGGGGAGTTTCCCCAGGGGTGTGGCCGGCTTCCAGCATATCCAGGGACATCCTGGGAAGAGAGACATTCCTCTGTGGATTGGGATTCTGTTGTGCTGCCTACAACTGTCTATGAGTGAGTAGTTCACCGTTCGGCCTGAAGATCTCGGATTCATCATTCGTTGGAGTCAACAGCCAGTGTACTGCCTGCCAGCCTTGAGCTCCTCAGCCCCTGTGGTTGCAAGAGCCAGGAAAAGCCTCCAGCTTGACGTTTGATCCAGGGACTTTGGACTTGCCGGCTTCTATACGTGTCTGAGCCATTTTCCTAAGATAAATTTCTCTCTCTCTCTCTATATATATAAGCATTGCTGTTTTTTGTTTCTCTAGAGAACCAAGTCTAACACACCTGCCAAAGGCAACGACTGTGTTAACTTCTAACACCATGGATTAGTTGCCTGTTAACATTGTCACAGCTCTTTTGCCTGGAGGGGAAACTAAAGATTTTAAGATTCCCTCTGTCTAGGTCTAGTTGAGGAGTCCCTGGGTGGCACAAATGGTTAAGTGCTTGACTACTAACTAAAACGTTGATTGTTCAAATTCAGCCAGAACTGCCTCAGAAGAAGTGCTTTGGAGGAAAGATTGATTTGCTTCTGAAAGGTCACAGCCTTGAAAACACCATGGAACACAAATCTACTCTGCGTCCATGGGATCAAAGGTGGCTTGATGTCACAGTGCTTAAAGCTCTCAGCTGCTAACCAGAAGTTTGGCAGTTCTGAACCCACCAGCTTCTCCACAGGACACAGATGTGGCAGTCTGCCTCTGTAAAGATTTACAGCCTTGGAAACACTATGGGCCAGTTCTTCTCTGTCCTATAGGGTACCTATAAGCCAGAAGTGACTTCATGTCAAGGGGTTTGCTTGGTTTTTATATACGATGCCACCATGAGTCAGAATTGAATAGAATCAACTCAACAGCAATAGGTTTGGTTTTGTTTTTTAAGTCTATTTGTGGTAGCCCTTGGTTTACCAGGTTTGGTACGTTTACCACCAGCAGTTCAGGGAAACTTTCATATCCCTTGTTTGCTTCTGCATCCCTTCCTGGAGCTCCTGATGCCCCTCAGATGGCATGTGGCCTCTGCAGTCACTCTCTTCGGGGACATTCAGTTTTGCAAGCCCACATGGCCTCATCAAGCTCTCCCTGAGATGGAAGGACATCCCAGACTCCTGGGATGAGTCTATTGCATAAAACAGCCACCTCACCATTTGTATATCATCTGTAAGAGCTTAGGGCTCCCAGCATGTCCCAGTCTGTCCCCAGCATATGGCCTTGCAGCCCCAGACTTGATTTGCCAAGCAGCTGGATGGACTAGAGTGACCACTTTTACTACCACCACATGGGACAGTAACAACACAGCCTAGTAACCTAGAGCTGCAGGTACTGGAGTTTGAGAAACTTTCACCAGAATGATCAGAAGGTTGCTGAAGAGTGCCACCTAATGGACTTCAACTGCAACCAGAGGCTTGCATGATAGGCCTGTGGGTGTCTGGCATTCTCCTGGTCACATATTGCATTGTTTCCCAGGCCACAAGCAGGAATTCTGGTGGACTCAGGCATATGTCACCTTACAGAGCAGAGTTCTGGCCATTTCCCTCCTCATGTCCCTGCTCTATCTCTCCCAGGGATCTGACTGCTCTCCATTTTTGACCTTCAATGCAAAAGGATGATCTCACACACACACACACACACACATGCACGCACACACGCACACACACACTCACTCACAGTAGACCCCCTCCACCTATGTTTTCCTATGGAGAACATTCTGAGGCCTTCTGTGAACCCTCATGTGAACAGGAGGGGAAGAGATCTCTGATCTCACCCAAAAGTCATTTGTCTTCCTCGGGATATCAAGGCAATTCTCTGGCATCTCTCTAACCAAGTTAGAAAACACACACACACATACACACTTAATCTATGACAGGCTTCCGTACCTCACTGAATTCGGAGTTAGGGGCAGGGTGGGATGATGGAGAAAATGGAAAGGAGATG